TGCTCACCTGCAATTTATAATGGCGCATTGTAGTCACCTTCGTGCACGAAAGTTCGTTCAATCTCAGCTGCTCAACATTTTCAGTTATTTGCTGTTGTATCGCCGATTTTCAAAATGCAAATGATCTGTTTATTTTCAAAGAATAGTTTGTTTTGTTATTGTTTGGTTGGTGTCTTATATGAAACTGCGACATTGCGCAATTTATTGGACAGACTTGTTTAAGATCACACAGCGTAATTTGGGTGGCATTTTACTTCGTATTTTTAAATCATCTTTTTATTTTTGACTATCTGTAAATTTAGTTTCCTGCTCTTAATTGTGAATGCATACTTGATGGTTTTAAATGCTCCTGAAATTAAGTGCTGCTTGGCGAGCCTATATTGTGTATGTATGTAACGTCACTGAAGGCCTACGGTTGAAATGCACGGCCCGCCACTGCGCACAGTACATTGAATGCATATAAGATTAAAAATGTTGATTTGTCTTGTTTGCAGCACTAATGGATGCATCTCTCTTTTGATACAGGACTGTATCACGTCACTTCAAAATATTTCGGAAAGATAAGCGATTATAGTGTGCTGACTTTTTAGAAAAATATGAAGTAACTCATTGTACTGTGATATATCATCATTGTGATATAAATGGCTAATATTGTGAACACTACTTTCTTTTATTTGCATATTTTTCACCAGAGAGTCATCTTGCTTGCATTGCTCAATGTAGGCACTGTATGATTGGAGTAGGGTTGGAAGTGAGGATATTTTGAGTCACATGGGTGGCAAAAGTGGCCCGAGAGGACCTACGAGGGAAATGGGTCATGTATCCAAACACCGCTGGGTTTTGGTTAAGTCAATGAAGGAAATATTGTGTTTGGTCCCTCAAAGTGGCTTCATTTAAATTTAAAGTCTCCCAAAACTGCTATTATAAAAAAATATACATATTTGAGTCTTATTCCTCTAGTGATACTGTATATAGCATAATTAATACTAAGGAAACATTTTGTCAGCCAATTTAAACAAATATGCAAACAAACTGAGTGGTAGCCCCTTCATCATTCACAAAGATGCAAGCAAGAGGACCAAAAAAATAACACTGCCAACGGAGTAAGATAGTCCAGGGAAAAGAAGTGGAAAGTTTTAAGCTGGTATTTCACTGAGTGGCAAATGCTTGCGAACGTAGCGAATTTTGGGTTTTCGTCAGGGCTCGTAAAAGGTTGCAAATGTTGCCAAGTCAATCTCCAAACTTGAACCCAACAGAGCATGCATTTTACCTGCTTCCTGAATGGAGTAACCCCAAAGCAAATTTATAGGGGCTGTGGTTAAAGTCTGGACATCAATTTTACACACCAGAGACGTACATACTAACTAAGAAAAGTAATTTGATTTCATGGTGGTACCCTTTAATGAACACTCACAGCAACAGCTACAGCAGTAAAATCATGACAGAGTTGTTGGAGTGAACTTTCAATGCTGCTGAGTCAAGTCGGCACAAATAGACATGCATAAATCAAAAGACGCGAAAACATGCACAACAGTTAGCTGAACATAGTTCAGAGTATCGGATGTGTCGTAAGCACGATGCCATGAAGAGGCATTACTTTGGGCCCACGCTCGGGTGCAACGCTGACACACGGTGCCAGCAGGCCTGAGCGAAGGCGCTTCTTGGTTACACACATTTTTGAGTGTGCTTCTTTTCAACAGCATCCCAGTTCAGCGACACGGGCTGCAAAAAAGCAGCTTTTGTTCTCAATAATCCACACTGGTAAATGAAAGACTGCCCACTCCACAAAGCTGAACGTCCACATTTCTTTTCAAGGAGATGCTGCAGAAAATAAGCTGTCTCGAACCAAAAATCCCAAAAGCAGCTAACGTACCTAACACAACGTAGGTCCCGAACTGCCTTTGTCCACCGCAGGATTTTTCCACAATAGTACATGAGCTGGGACATACAGTATTTACTACATCAAGAGGTTGACAAGTTAAAAATCACATCGGCGACTTGGTTCCGGATACAATTTGTATCAAACATGGCTCATTGGTGATTGCGCTGGAATCGGCTACAGATGACTACTTCAATATATTTACATGACACATTTACACAAGCAATTCTGTCAGTAGCAGATTCCAGTCAACCCAACAGGAAGGGCCACACAGATCTACAGTATATAAATAAGTGTGTTTGTGTGGTGTAGTACCGTATTGGCCCGAATATAAGACGGCCCTGATTATAAGACGACCCCCTCTTTTTCAAGACTCAAGTTTGAAAAAAGTCTTTTTGAACACCAAATTCATTTTCATACAGAAAATAATTACAGTACATCTGAAACAAATGATTCTAACAATATATTTGAGAGAAAAAGCATCTTGAAGTTTACACCATAACTTCTCCTCAGCTGCCGGTTAACCTGGCCGATCTTCGATCCACTTTTCTCCAGACTGTCGCTACGTTTCTCCATTTTCTGTTATCTCTTCTATTATTTTCTTCTCTTTTCTTTCTTACCGCTATTTTTTTTATTTTTCTTCTTCGTGCTACCGCTATTTTTATTTTTATTCTTCGTGACGGGTTCGCTTTGGCCTGGGGAGTCAAGTTCAGCATTCGCTTCAATGGATATCTGGCGCCATCTAGTGTCGTGAATGGGTATAATGTCTAGACCCCGAATATAAGACGACCCCCACTTTTTCAGTCTTATTTCAATGCAAAAAAACACCGTCTTATATTCGGGCCAATACGGTATATCTATAGATACATACATTTATATGTATACTTGGAGAGCGCAATATGAGAAAGAGATGTCCCTTACTAAAACTAAGGTACACACCACAGGATCGACCATCTCCACGTGGCCCAAAACACTTGCGTCATCTCCAACAAGATGACGAGCTGTCTATCATCAGCACGCAAAAAAAAGCCAAAAACACACAAATTAATTTTGGTGTGCAACCTCGACGTAACTTGCACACACTGTGCTGCTTAACAAATAAGTAATGGTGACACTTTCCACAAAATCTGACATGTTCAGTGATTTAGTCATCAAAACAGATCTTGACAGCTGATCCATCAGCATTTTGCTGTTGTTCATTCAAGGTGGATTCCCAACATAAGTGCTGAAAACTTGCTTCAGTAGCTCATATTTGCTTTCTCTGCCAGGATGGCGGCTGCGAGCTGCTGGGGGTCCGTCACATGGGGGCTCCTGGCCATCACCCGACTCACCAGCTCAGAGGGGAAGATATTGCACAGGTTGGCGTACGCTTTCTCCCTCGCGTCCCCGCCGGGGGACTCGGGAAGCTGCGAGGTGTAAGATGACGGGGCGAGGTGGGGTGGGAGAGAAGATTGAGCAGAGGGGTGACTTAAATAGTGCGACGGAGCTGTGTGGAGAGAGAGATGAGACAAGTGGCGCGATGTGTAGCCATCTTGTGCCCACTGAGGAGAGTGCCACGATGCCTGCCATGTGTCCGACAGGCAAGGATAGGCACCGGGCCCGTACCGAGGAAGCGCCGGCGGCTCCCTATAGTACGTATCCCAAGTGGACAAAGCTTTCGTTCGGTGGTGATGTTGGAATATGCACAGATTATCGTAAAGACGAGATTCTGATCCGCTCTCTGCTCTCCGGGGGACTCGGGAAGCTGCGAGGTGTAAGATGACGGGGCGAGGTGGGGTGGGAGAGAAGATTGAGCAGAGGGGTGACTTAAATAGTGCGACGGAGCTGTGTGGAGAGAGAGATGAGACAAGTGGCGCGATGTGTAGCCATCTTGTGCCCACTGAGGAGAGTGCCACGATGCCTGCCATGTGTCCGACAGGCAAGGATAGGCACCGGGCCCGTACCGAGGAAGCGCCGGCGGCTCCCTATAGTACGTATCCCAAGTGGACAAAGCTTTCGTTCGGTGGTGATGTTGGAATATGCACAGATTATCGTAAAGACGAGATTCTGATCCGCTCTCTGCTCTGGGAGGAGCCACGCGGCGGCCCAGAGGAGAGTCAGGGGTATTAGACGCAGCGAGTGTGTGGTAGTCGGCCGGACAGCTCGATCGTGTAGCAAATGGCTGGTGGTGGAAATGAAGGGGTAATGCGTAGAGAGACCGACTGTGATCCCAGCTTTGGCCTGGTGCTGCGCTTGTATCATAGCCGTGCACTCCCGAGTTCGTCATTTTACTGTGTGGCACACTGGTATGATCAGCCAAATGAAGGCTGCACAGTTCGTGGCTTCCTGCAGCTTGACGGAAATGTAGCCGACCGTGGGTGTTGGCGTAATGGCCGGCATCCTCAACCATGCTATCCTGGCAAGCGTGACACGGCCGCTCGCTGTACGAGTCGCAGCTGCTGCTTTCACTGCCGCATTCGGAGCCGGCCGATCCTATGGAGCCCAGCCTGAGATCCCCGTCCTGGGGGTTGCGACTGTCTGGGCTCTGCCTGGATGAGATGCGCAGGTTGCTGTAGGCGTGCGCCGCCGAGTAGCAGCTCAGGTCTGGGGACTCACAGTGTGGGTAGAGGTCATGACTGGGGGCTGGAGGGACACACTGAGGGGTGCCTGCTCGGGACTGTTGGTCCTGCTGAGCGCCGGGGGGCTGACCTCCCGGGAGGACGGTGGACATGCTTGCGGTCCCGGTGCAATTACCGACAGCGCCTGATACGCCGGTCCTCTGACTTTCTGTCCTGTCTTTCGCTGCCAGTTTCTCCTCTGCGTCGCTGTACGACAGAGCTCGGACACCAGGGTCAGACTGCCGTTTTGCCACACCTTTCTTTGCCTCGATGCTGCGAGCTGGCATGCTGTGGCTCTTCACCAGCCCGGTGTCGCCCTGGTTCTTGGTGGCAACGCAGGTCTTAGCGCTGGCCCGCAGCTCATCGGCCACAGCGCGTTGCGGCTGAGCGCCTCTCTCCGGGTGGTAGTACTTACATTTGTGGCCATAAGTGCACTTCTTTCCTAAATTGGGAACATATGTGGAGTCAATAAATCAGGTCCTTAAATGATGTTGACATGATCCCACTGTGTTCTCACCATACGGACAAGGCTGTTTTTTCTGCTCGGGCATCACAGGTCTTTTCCTCAAGAAGTTGTCCAAGCTGGGACCGTGTCGGCCGAGTGGGTCATCTGGTGGCATGAATCTGACAGACGGGGAAGGAAGATTACCAGAAACAAGAGCGTACTACAAGAATTTCTGAGTTGGTTATGTCGTCGTTTGTGTCATGACGTTTAAATCGGAAATTATGTCTGTGTCATGACGTTTAAATCGAGTTATTGAGCTGCGGGAGTGACTCTGAAGACCTCTTGGCGTGTGTGAGGATAAGTGGATCGGATAATGGATGGATGGATGAATGATTAAAAAGAGGCCAACCAATAATAAATGTATTCCTGTCATCTCCGCCATTAAAGGTCAATTCATGGGGTCTTGCATGCATGTAAATTGTTTGTTTGCAATTTCAAATTGAATCATACATAGGATTGCTTAGCATATACCTAGTGCCAAAAATTGTTGGATTTAATTGTATGATTTCAACCCGCAGACCTACTTGTCATTGACAAAGGAGTACATGAGTAGTCGCTCGTCGATGAACTTCTTCCACTCAGGTTTCTCATTGGCGAGGTCTCTGTAGTTGTCGTTTGACACGATGATGCCGTCCGACTCGTAAGCTAGCTTGACGATAAAGCGGTCATCGTAACAGACCACACGCCGACCTTGCACGCGGCGTGAAGGAGTGAACACAAGGATCTTCTCCTTCTCCAGACGCCGCAGGATCTCTTGGTCTGCAGAGAGCGATGATGACGAGACACAGTCAGCTCCATTTAATCTTCTGTCCAGACTTGAGAACAGACCTGTTATTGGGGCGTCCGGCCGAGACTGCTCCTTCCTCCATGCTGGAACGAAAACGGTGACATCGTGGTGGCCACGTTCTAAAAACCAGTCAACAGCCAGCTGGATTCCCTGGCAGGAGAACACCTCCTTGTTGCCGTGGCTACAGGGAAGAGGCAACATACGAATATGAAGAATCTCCCCCGAAAAGTGCTGACTATTCGCTTTGGCCACAAAGCCTGCTCACCTCATGGCCACATTACTACCGTCCACCACGACAGGCCGCAGGATTTCTTGGTCACACAAAGGGTCTGGCAGGCACGGTGAGTCCAATCCCAGAGCTGCTGGCAAATCGGAGGAACTGTAAGAGGAACAAGAGGACGACGACGTCGAAGTGGAGGCAGACGACCCGACTGGTTGCTCGCCATCTTTAGAGCCCCGTTTGACCAGCTCTCCCAGGATGTCGTTGATCAAAGTGCGCGGTCCCAGCTTGGAGAGTACCAGCCGCACCGTCTCCTCGGAATAGCCCAGTTTGAGCGCAAATCCCAGTTTGGCCTGATATTGCTCGTCGGGTGCGGGCCCAGAATTGGAGGGGTTTTCCTGAGACAAAGGTGGATGCTGGAGCAGGGCAGGCCCGTCTCGTCGGCCCTCTGATGAAAGTTCGACTGGCGGCTCGGGTGGTCCTTCGGTCCCCAAGTCCACACACTGGGTCCGACAGAGCGGCTGGTGGGTGCTTTTGCTGTGAGATGAGCCGCTCTCTCCTCTGTGGGGGTTGAGGTCACCAGTAAGCCGGGGAGTGGGAGAAGCCCGTGGCTTGCCCTCTCTGTCGTAACAGCTATATTCCTCTGCCACGGCTGCAAGGGGAGTTGGGGTGGTACCAGCGTCCCCCTGCCCCTCCATGGCAGGAGGCTCGTCAGCGCTGCCAGCCTGACGGTCAGCCCCTGCTACATGGAGATACTCAAGCCCCAAGTCGAGGATGCGGCCAGGTCCTGCTTCCGCATGATTCTTCTGGCCCATAGAGCTTTCTCGGACATCCGGTAAAGTCTAGCCACCTCAATCCTGGAGTCATTGATGCCTGAAGAAGAAGAAGTGAAAGAACTGGTCATGTCAACAGGGCTAGCCCTACAGTTAAAGAGTGTCACTAACTTTGAAGCACTGTGGCATTTTGTTCAGTGAAAAAGACACGCTCAGAACGTAAAGAAAAAATGTGTCCGACACTAACAGAAATGAACTGCGGGTGAACACTCTCCAGTCCCCCTTCTTTAAAAGAGGGACCACGACCCTGGTCTACCAAGCCAGCGGCGCTGTCCCTGATGTCCATGTGATGTTGTTTAGGCGTGTCAAACAGGACAGCCCCACAACATAGAGAACCTTAAGAAACTCCTAGTGGTTCTCATCCACCCCGTGGTGGGCTATGCCACTGAAGAGCTTTTTAACCACCTTGGTGACTTCAACTCCAGAGATAGGAGAGCCCAAGTCAGAGTCTCCAGACTCTGATTCCTCTCAGTAAGGCAGGTCAGTGGAATTGACAAGGTCTTCAAAATATTTTCCCCACCGATTCACAACGTCCCGAGTCGCAGTCAGCAGCGTCCCATCTTAACTATACACAATGTTAACGGTGCACTGCTTATGTCTGCTGAGATGCCGGATGTTAGACCAGAATTTCCTCAAAGCCGTCAGGAAATTGGTGTCACCGAAGTCCTCCCCTGAGTCTTTGCCTCGGTGACGGTCGATGCTACGTTCCGCTTGGCCAGTCAGCATCTATCGGCTGCCTCCAAGTCCCAAAGGCCATAAAGGTCCAATAGGACTCCTTGCTAAGGTTAGCAGCAGCTCAATCAATCTCATTGACCCGTATTCGGCCAAGGGAAAACTAAGTCCTTTTGTGTTATTAATCAGAAAAGGTCATATGAATCGTGCTTTGTCTGGTCCCTCATCTAGGACCTGTTTGCCATGGGCATAAATAAAGCCCCAGACAACTTAGCTCCTAGAATAATTGGGACACACAAACCCCTCCACCACAGTCAGGTGGTGGCTCACGGAGTGCATAGTATGAACCATTAAAAAAGAAAGAAAGAAAGAACATCAAGCTCTTTACATTCGGGCAGAAGGAAAGAACTCACCTCCCCGTTCGCAAATTAAACTTTTGGCTTTTAATGTCCTGATACTTATTTTGACTGGTATGGTTTGCATGTGAGTGTGCGGTGGACCCACTGGTTGAAAACTGGATGGAAAAAACGGGACGTTATGGGCGACGAAAGATGACATTCATTCATGCCCATGGAAATCAGTGCACAACGGAGACAAGTAAGAGACTTAAATAAATAAATTAATTAATTAATTTAAAAAGCAGTCCCAGAAAAGGTCATTTGGATAAAGCAGAGGAACAAACTGGGAGGAGATTAGGGGAGGGGCAACGGGCTGCATTTAATAAAAAAGGGGGCTGTGTGGCAACATGACTAAGCCACTGTTGCTAAGATGTAGCTGTTGAACCCCTACCCCCACCCCCATACACACAAAGCCCGCTCAAACCGCCCAGACAGGGGCGTGTGTTCAGGCGGTGTCTGGGGGATGAAGGGGGGCGGGGCTCTCAGAGTATGTCTTATGGCTTTGTCCACATGACTCGGCTAGACGACAACTTTGTTGTCGTTCGTGACGGTCGCGCTGTCAGACTCCCAGAGAAACATTTTTGTAACCGACCAGACCGTGGCCAATCATTGTGTTCTTCTATCAAGAATCAGTCCACCGGCGCAGGTCGGTCGGGGAGATGAGACAAGCAGCTGTCAAAGTCTTAACGATGGAGGCATTATGTGCATTTTATGTTCAGAGAAGTGGTGGGGAGGGGTGGGGGC